TGTTGGGGGGGACTACTGTACACTTTAGTGTTCTTCATCCCTCTCACTCCCATGTTCCCTCTTCTTTCATTCCAGTTTTGAAGTGACCGTTTGACTCCAGACGGATCCGTTGAACCAACCAACAGTGGCTTTGATGGGAATCAGTTGTGCAGTTGATTGTTCACAGTCGCCACCACCTTCCAAGCTTTTATCTAGATTTCAATGCAACGTTAGGTTATTTCAGCTTTTTGCTTTTCATGCTATCACCTTGTTAGCACTTGCGTGAGACTAGGATAATCTGATTGTCGGTTCCATCCCGATCAAAACGACCAATCCGCTCTACTTGCACTTTCCCATGGTGTTTGGACCATGCGAATATCATATCATATCATGTTGTATCACATATCGGTCTCCTGTACCATTTCTTTCACATATCGGTGCCTTTGAACCTCTGTTTTTCCAATCCTTTTGTTGCTTCTTTTCCATATACACATACACGGATATTTTCTACGTTCTTCTGTGTGATAGATTCCGTATATTGTTTTTTTTTAAAACGTATGTCCTTTTTGCACTCGACAACAACCCAATACACATATCCCTGCTTCTTGATCTGTCTTGTTTCTTTATCCTTCGATAGTACACACTAAAACACACTACAGATTTCATAGATTTATTTAGTCTGAATAGTGTGCTGACTTTATTTACACACATGAATTTAGTTCCCTACAGGAGACGACTCAGCTGAATCCAGCTAAATTTCTTGTTTGGTCTGTCGAATTGTTTTCAGCACGCCTAGTCTACCGACTTATTCAGCCATTCGCTTGACTAGTGATGAATTCTCAAAACGTATTAGCTGAAGAGGTGTCTTGTTAAAAGTGATTGGCTCATTTTAGCAGAGCAGCCAACCACACATCTGTATTTCGAAAATCAGCTGACACCGTTATTCGTGCTGAACGTTACAGATGTCTGTACTTTACTTCATACCATCTATGTTGCGTATGTTACTTAGACAAGACCTTAAATGAAAAGAAGTGGTTAGGTGGCTCGAGGTGGTCATCATCACTGACAGCAACACCATATGAGAACGCTGGTGCCTTATTGCAGTAAAACGGTGTCAATTTATTTGAATAAAGTTTTATAGGGGAAGGGATAAAAATGGGATAGGGAGAAGGAACTAGGGCTAGCCTACAACAAACATTCGAGGTGCCCAATCCTCCAACACTCATTCAGACAATCTGGGTGGGAAATGACGACATGAACGCCACTGGCAATGGCTAGCCGACGCATCGTTCCTCGGCGGGTAGGACTAGTCAACAGAGTCGGAATGAATGAATGGGCTTGGAATTTGTTCCGTTTAAAGCATTTCAGTTCAAGAAGTACACTGACAGAGTCGCAGAAATCCTCAGTGCAATAGTAATTGGACATCGGTTAGAATCCTCGTGTAAGTACATGACGCCTAAACACACCACTGTTTGAACAGCCTTTATGCACTTTCGGCGAAAGGTGTGAACTTGTACTCGCTAAGGAAGATAACAAGGAAGGAATAAAGTTTCGAACATAGCGGAACATTCATGAACTCAAAAAGTAGCGGGCTGTCGTGCGTTGTTTCTTTAATGCTTGTCAACATAGCTCACGGTGTGTCGGTTATCTTCATTGTTCCTGGGGCTATCGATCCATGTCTTGTGGCCACTATCTTATTTCGTTCTTCGTTGACTGAAAATCACTCATCTTGTCAAGCTAACACTGTTCCCTTTGTCTTTTCAAACATACACACTGTACTATGTTCACATTAATAAGTATTCCAAATGGATCTGCCTGTCACAATAGTGGTTACTCCAATGGACGCCCGTAAATCACAAGCTTGTTGGCTACAGTCGAGTGTAAAGCTACATGTGCGCCTTTGAAGCCGATGTAAACTTAGAGGAACAACACAGGCGAACAAACACAATCCTCCAACACTCATTCAGACAATCTGGGTGGGAAATGACGACATGAACGCCACTGGCAATGGCTAGCCGACGCATCGTTCCTCGGCGGGTAGGACTAGTCAACAGAGTCGGAATGAATGAATGGGCTTGGAATTTGTTCCCTTTAAAGCATTTCAGTTCAAGAAGTACACTGACAGAGTCGCAGAAATCCTCAGTGCAATAGTAATTGGACATCGGTTAGAATCCTCGTGTAAGTACATGACGCCTAAACACACCACTGTTTGAACAGCCTTTATGCTGTGAACTTGTACTCGCTAACGGTCGCTACCCCCGTCTTATTGGACATCTTAGGTGGATAATACTGCGTCACCTGGCTAAGGAAGATAACAAGGAAGGAATAAAGTTTCGAACATAGCGGAACATTCATGAACTCAAAAAGTAGCGGGCTGTCGTGCGTTGTTTCTTTAATGCTTGTCAACATAGCTCACGGTGTGTCGGTTATCTTCATTGTTCCTGGGGCTATCGATCCATGTCTTGTGGCCACTATCTTATTTCGTTCTTCGTTGACTGAAATTTACTCATCTTGTCAAGCTAACACTGTTCCCTTTGTCTTTTCAGACATACACACTGTACTATGTTCACATTAATAAGTATTCCAAACGGATCTGCCGGTCACAATAGTGGTTACTCCAATGGACGCCCGTAAATCACAGGCTTGTTGATTACAGTCGAGTGTAGAGCTACACGTGCGCCTTTGAAGCCGATGTAAACTTAGAGGAACAACACAGGCGAACAAACATGCAGAGGCTTTATGAGAGCCGTCAGCCTGTCCAAGCACAACTGTGGCCATAGGCGCTAGTTACTGTACAGCTAGGAGCTAGTCTCATCAGTATATTTCTCCAAATATCAGTAGCATCTTGCACTTCTAAATTGATATTTATGATGATACTTTCTCGCGGGTGCTCACTGCGGTCCTATTCAGGTCAGAATAAGTATATACTATATATATAATGTTTGCCAACTTCCAGCATTTGCGGCGCCGACATGACACCAGATCGTATGTCAAAGATAGACTGCACAATTCCGCGGCCCAGTCTGTCCTACTTTATGGATCAGGGACGAAGTTCTTGAGAAAAGTCACTCCTCCCTCGATAGATCGGCTGGTCAAACTTCAAAGTTTACACTGGTTGCGTCGTTTGGTATCCGGGGAACCTTTTGACTTTTAGGGCCCTCTTGACCCAGCCTTGTATTGGATGGAAAAGAATCAGAGGCATTAGTCTAGGGAAAGTCATCCCAGTGGTGTTAGTAGCTGTCATCTACCTGGATGGGACTCCAGATACGAGGCGCACCAATGGGGGATGACCCTGACAAATATGGGCATGTCACACTCAGTGGTGATCCTGCATCAAAGCTATTGGATCACTGCCTAGCTCTTTTTCATCCCCTGCCATATTGGATATATAGGACAGTTTAGCGCCAGTGAACTGATAGGGCCCTCGTCTCTAACGCGCAGCTCTCAGTCTCGTTATCCTCGGTGAACGAGGCTGAACCACTGAACTCTGGTACACTATTTGTGACAATCCAGGTGTCCCACATTCTATTTCCCGTTGTTTTCACACCAATGACATCGATTGCTCGCTACGACAGCTGATTGGTAGATGCTTTCGGTTATCCAATCAGCCAATTTGATTATCGGATTCTAGAACGTGTGCTTTTTGGGGAGTGCTCTGTGATAGGAGAAGATTCCTTGTCACAATACGACCAAAGTGTGATTGAATGAGAAACATACGTGACCTCAAACCTGGTGAGGAGACGACGTTTGGTGCCAGTATAACGGAATAAGTGTCATAATGAACTTTTGGTAATATGTTGGAATACCGGTATACATTCATTGGCAGTTGGTCTGTTCGTCGAGCTTGGTAGATATTTCATAACCACTCTAGGAGACATCATCATCTAACAATGTTTTGATAATGTCTCCTCAAATGGTAAAGAAACTTCCTCAAATCACGGCGAGCAGACAACAGACATTTGATCAGTTGTCAATATTGAACTACTTAATCGGGTCCGCTGATGCGGTATTCATTTTCAACATCTCGTTTGTAGCTATTTCGTCTTGGTCTCTGAGTGTGATATTCTCCGACACCGGTAGATCCTTCCAAATTACATATTCAATGAACGATGTGCCTATCGATCAATCTGCCAGTTGGTAGTTCAAAACAAGATCACTAACCAGCGAACGAAACGAACCGAACACACCTATCGATTGTGTGCCTGTAAAACGGAGACAGTATGGACACTCTGTGTTGACGAAATCCTTTTCGTTTGAATTAGAACGAGGCGCATCATTCAGGTTGCGTATTTATCAGGATGTCGGTATTATTTCATTCTTTGGTTATGTGTTCTTTCCAGAAAAAAAACATTTGAGTGTGTGCACAGCATGTGCGTGTTCTCGTTTGCTAGTACCTGAATATGTGAAACACACATGCATCATACAGTCTAAACCGTTTGCATCTTGAGGCCGGTGCTATCAGGAACGATTACTCGATCTAGTCAGGTTGGCTAACATTAGACCTGTTCCAATGGAATTTTTGTTTTGTGTAATGTTCCAAGGTCAGAAAAGACGATGTTCCAGTCCGTAACGCGCACATTATATCGTTTTCGGAGAATACGCCGTCATCCTATAGGTCATGTTTCACTTTATCTTCGAGCTTAGCCGTAAACAGAAGGTTATAAAGTTAAGAAGATTGACTCACCAAGATTAAGATAGGGTTTGATAAAGTAGGAGATACAGGTTGTGCGGATGTGTAGTGTTGTGTGGTGATTACCCTGAGACAGCGGATGGCGAAGATCTACTGTGCTGAGAAACGACTTTGTCAAAGTTGCTAGCCCAGTAATCTTCTCAGCCTTGCCAACAACGACTTTGATTTACTCACCTATTTCCTGCAGATTATGGACGGCTCCGGAACGAGTTGTTGCCAGTGTACGGCGCTTTACCAATCAAGGCTTCTACTTCATTCCATTTCTTCACTTAGCCTTACAATAAACCCCATCAGCATCCAGGGTTGTGTTACTACCGACACTGCCCCGTTTTCCGAGTCGGTTGCTACTAGAACTCACTGCTCAATGAAGTCTTTTGAACTTCGGTTGGACCAACACATGACTGAACACCAACACATGCTATTATGACAACCCTTTCTTCTGTTCACATCCGACTTGATCACACCACGTCATGATTCAGTCTCTCCATCTTCCAAACAGTATATAAATGGAAGCATTGTGGGAGGTAGTACGTCTGGTACACACCCTGACGATGTGTTTGACCCTTGCATCCGGTCCGCACCGAGGCAGCGTAGCCCCCAACGGGCGATGCGACTCATAACGTGTTATGTAAAGCACCGATTCCTTAGTGCTTCATAAAACATGTTTACTTGTTTGCTACACAGAACTAATCAACCTAGCCTGAGCTGTCGTAGATCGAGGACTGCGACGCAATCGATATTGTGATCACCCAAACCTCACGGTCGCTCATCGGAACTAGTCACTTATACAGATATGTTTTCACAAATTTCAGTTCGTAAAACGGTCTTTACAAGCCGGTTACGTGGACTACACGGTCACCAGTCAGACACCGGAAGAAGTAATGCTGTCTCTACTGACTAAAGTCAGTTGCGCGACTCCTCACTGCTCTAGATAGACCATGCATTACATGACGAATACTCTCGATCTGAAAATGTTTATTAAATATAGGAAAATGTTTGAAAAAAGATTTTTGTGAACATGTCAAAATCTTTGTATATCCAATGTGTTCATTAGTTTTGGAAGTTCTTATTTTACGTAAGACGAGAAGTCAATCTATCCCTGAATGTGCTGCACCCGATAGCGACGCCTGTTCATGAATCTATGGCTCTGCATCCTCGTCACCTGACTGCTCCATTTTGGGTTTTTCTTGGTTTTCCTCCCGGTCTTCTTCCTGTCCTCTACTCAGCACACCACGTGACAACGTCCAAATGTTCACATCACGTTCGGCCCTGTGTGAGTCATAGTAGGCGTTCGCACTCACTTGAATATCTCTTCCGGATATTGTTCTTGAACAAAAAGTGAACGAGTGGATGAATATTCCGATGATGTTCGGAACATGTTTATCAGTTATGTAGGTAGGCTACCTCAGTCGGTTGAACAGTGTTCCAAAAATTACAACTTAAAGTAAATCTAGATGCTAGTATGATTGCTTCTGTGCTTTGTGTGACGAACTGGGAGCATAGTTTTGTGGTGAATATTAATCCTATCTGAAAATCCTAGTGAATGGCCACTGTTGGCTGAGCTCTGTCAATTGTAGACATCAGAAATTGTTTTTTTTCCGACCGTGGACCTTGATATTTTATGCCAAATGTTAGGTTGTCAGTTTCCATTAGCCGTCAGCATGTGAACATCATCGGAAATCTAATACAATCGTACTTTATAAAGTGTCGAATGTAACATCTGCCACAATCAACCATCTTCGTGTTCACTATCGAAAGAATAGATGTCCATCAACGATGCACTACAGACGTTTAGCGTTTAGTTCCAGAAGGCCCCGATGCTGAAGAGAATGATAGATGTGGTAACCTGCTTCAAGTGATCCGAGATGAATACTCCAATAGGTAGCCTGAGTAATAAGTGACAATTAGAACTTTCACCAAACGCAGCCCAGGACAGGCCACTCCCCTTCTGGGTTTGTCGGCCCAACAGATTTTTAACCATTTGTTTCAATCTTCCTACCACTCTGACTGGTTGCCGTTTGTGACACTCAAGTTGACAGTGACAAAGTGTTTACACATTCATTTACCTTCAAAACCGAAAACACCTACGAGGTTACATCAGTAGCTTGCTCGTTCTCTAGGTTATTATTTCGTGCTCATTTTGGGATGTCTGCTCAAGGTTAACTCGTGATGCCCGCGTCTCGAAAGCACTCGTGGCTTCTCCATGCGACCATATTTGTGATAAAAGCCTTTACACGCACATCGTTTGTTTTTCATAGTTGTGCACGAAGGCAGTCACGTTACGGATGTTCTGGTGTGGCAGAACTTCCTTGTAGTGGCTAAGTCTGTCTCCAAACATAATAATTCTTGGTATGATGTAAGTACGTGGAATGCCTTAGTCACGAAAAACACTTGGAAAGGAGAAGTAGGATGTAACCTAAATCGAAAGAATGCATGCCGGACTCCGCTTTCCCCCTATAGCAGGAACAGAAAAACAAGAAGCAGTCGCTGAATACGTGCCAGTTCCCTCAGTTCATTTCACTGAGATACTGGCAACTTTAAGTCGGAAAAGCTGGATAAAGAAAAACGAACGGCCAAAATTCGTTTCCATTGTTTTTTAAAGCCAAGAGTCTTTTGTATCTATCGATTATCTTGGTTGTTTAATTTTGTCAACGGAATATCGTCGTGATGTAAGCAAAATTGGCTTTCGCTTGGTTGGTTGAATGATGCTTATAATTTAACGTTACTTATCAGTTATCAGTAGTTGAAGCTCTTCACTGAAAATAGAGGCAAGATTATGTCTCTGGCCATTGAGAATTGGTTGCTGATGAATATAGTGTGATGCTGTGGTGGCTAGTAGCATCGGTCACTCTTCGTCTCCTTCCATATTTTAAGTGATTTTGATCCACTGATCGTCTGGTCGTATTTCAATTTGAATTCGATCCACACGGCGAAACTCAGTAGCATAACCTTCCTTTTGTCTTTTTAGGCCTACTTCATTTAAGGATCAAATTAGGTCCTAACTGGCTTTTTTCTGGTATAGGGCATATCGCGGAAATAAACGAATACGGAATCTTGTGGTGTTTTGCATGGAAGGTTACCAGCGTAAGCTGTGATGCATTAAAATTAGTACCGTCACGTGATCTATCCAGTCCTTTAGAGTGGCTTGACAGCTTGCTTGACACTCATTAAATGACCTTTCAGACACTCTGGCACTCAAGCAGATGATATTTTGCCTCTTTTGATGGGTAACTGTCTGTCATCCATGTGGACCTTGTAGGCCATTCTGTATCACGTGCTATTTAGAAAGTAGATATAGTTAACTATGAAGCCTTAAGTGATCTGTGCATTCACTCTCTACCTACCAGGCCATTACAACTCAATCGGTCTACGAGAAATTCATGTCCGAAAAGAGTATGGATTGGAAAGTCCGTGAATCAGCTACCTGGTTGATTGCGTTCCCCATTAAATGTGAGTGAATACGCGTGGTTACAGTGGAAATTCCAGTTGGATTTGGTCTAGTTGGAGTCAACCTGGGCTGTGCACGCTAGAGTTAATCATGAACAAAGGCGAATGGTTAAAGTAAGCAGTTGTGTTTTGTTACGTTGCGAGGGGCCTGGAACATAAGAACTCATCAGGGTTGGGGGAGTGGCTAAAAATCCGTTTTAAGTTGCTTGCACTAAGTTTGAAGTGGATTCACAATTAAATGCATGTGCCAATACGTCCCCTGATTTTTGGGAACGAAGCTATAAGCTCACGAGTGTGCATATGTTAACCTACTTCATACTCGACTTTGGGTGTTGCTTTCATCTTCAACTTACTCTGGTGAGCCCTTAGATTCCGGGCCATCAGCTTCATATACTCTTGTCTTTGCTGTGTTGGTGGGCTATGTTCAATTTCCAGTAGTTCGATTTTGACGCAGCTTGTAACTGATTGTAGCAGTTACACTGATATTGCGAACAAACGGGAGAGTCTAAGTCATAACCTGAATGCATTAATTGTTAGTTCGGAATCTTTACTAGACACCCAGCCCTTTATTCCATCTTTATTTTTCGAAAAATTTACTGAACTAAAAGGCGGAATTTCTTCCCTTGTTTATTCATTAATTGACTTTTTTTGTTTGTGGAATGGTATCTATCCCTCTTTGATTGCTGGCTTCAGAAAACCATAGTGAGTGTTTAGAGCACACATTTTCTTGAACAGATTTCGTACGCTATATCTAACCTTGAAATAAATCGATATCGCATCCGTGAATGCCACTGCGAAAGTGACACGCATGTATCCCATTGCACCACGGTGGCAGTGATGATTGTAAGTCAACAGCGGCTCTATCCGTAGGTTGCACCTCCCCCGCACACATCACGAATTCATTATTCCAAATAAAATTTTAAGGCCGCTTTTTATTCGAAATGTCTTTTGACATGTACGTTGGATAGTTATGACAGCATTTTCTGCATTATCTGAGAAGGAAATATTCAGCTGACATGACCATCCAGCGACTCAGTCTAACCAATTGGCTATTGCTTCAGAGCTTCGCTTCAGCAGTTAGTTTGTGATTGTTCCGTGTGAAGGTGACGCCTACTTACTTTGATCTCGCATAACTACCTAACATGTGGGACCAACACTGCAAGCAAGCCTTGTACAACATCTTGTTCCATTCAAATACACCTACCGAATTGGAAACTTCGGTTCCAGTGCCAGCGGTTTGTTTGTACGAATATGTCTGATGAGTATGTTGTCACCCAGCTGAAAGAAAGATGACACGAGTTGTGAGCGTTTGTTTACGTTTCATTGTGGCTAATCCCTTGACAAGTGACCAGAATTGTCCGGAGCATTCACTGCTAGGAAAAGAAAGCCTTGCAGCCTCGTAACCCAACCCCCTCCGAAGCAAGTGCCCCCATTACGATTAAAACAGAATAGAGCACCACCGATTGAGGTACTGGTCTGTCAGGAAAATTAGAGAACATGAGCTATCCTTTTCAAAGTATCAAACGTATTCCTATGCAGAAAGTTTTGTTGAATATCCTTTACTCTTTTTGCGTGCCCTTTGTGCCTTGTCTGAGTAGCTGTTTCCTGTTACTCTGTATGCACAAGTTTGATGTTTACGCTGGTAATCGTCTGCTGCCTTTGTAAAACCTAGACAAATTTTCAAAAACTTAGATAAAAAGACTTTATATTATTCTGAATATGCGTATATCACCTTTTCATTACACGGATGATGCGGGGTAACTAGCCAACCACATGTTACACATATTTCAAACACTGAAAAGGAGAGTCGGGAGCTCTGCTGTCGTGATGAAGTTTTCTATCAATAAATGTATCTTCATAATGCTATGGTGGACGGCGTCAAACTCACTTATGACTATACTCGATGGAGCAAATGGCAGCGCCAGATATACTCACCGTTCTATAGAAGAATGAGAATTCACTTGATAATGACTTTGCAATCTTTGTACTTGAGAAGTGGAAAAACAACGCTCAACTGTTGTCGTGAAAGAGAGCTAGTCAGAAAACTTTCTCAAAAGTAATGCAAACATTTACAATTTACACTGTCTGGGGAATCGAAAGTGAGAGTGATTTCCGATTTTGAACATCAGCAACAGTTTGCATATGTCAGAAGTCCAAGATCAGTTTTAATGCCTTTCATCTCAGTCCACTCGGGCCAGTGAGATGTCTCCAAGGCCAAAATGTTCACTTGCAAAGTTGGCGTTTAACAGGACTCTAACAATTCAATTCACACTGACAGCTGCAGACGATTAGGCTGTTTGACTCGGACTGAGTGGTAGAAAATTGATTTTTTAGGTAGTTTAATGGCACGAATTAGGACTTATAACGTCTACATGTCTATATGGTTCTACGATTGTCCTTAGTTAATTTGCTGTTCTCATTAAATCTTCTATGCTGACTGCAGATGGTAGGGCGTATGTAAGCTGGTATTAGTGGTAAGTACACTGAAGGTGACACCTGGACTAACTGTCGCAGTATTTTCGCTTCGATGGATTTACATTGATTTTAAGTGGTAGTGTACTCAGAGTACTGCAGTTCCTGTAGATTGGTACGTATGTTGTCCTACTTCCTGGACACAGGCACAGCTGGACATCGAGACCAGCAAGAGTTTCAATGAAGTGTGTTAAAAGTATTTTCTCCCGAAAATTCGATGAAAAACTGGGGGTGAAACAATACCTAGGTTCGGTTCTTTTCTGACCCACCTTTACAAGTCTGCCCTCTTTCTCATGCCTTAGCTGACAGTCAGCAGCCACGATTTCCCAGTGAGCGGCGTAACTCGGCTCGCCTTGTTCAAAGAATACCATCTGCGCACCAGACTGGCAAAGTGGGTCCCCTAGGCGTGAAAGTTGGCTAGCCAGATAGAATGGTTTTGGTGGCTTGTCCTTGTTCACTGGACCGAATTCTGGCTGTAACGAGAACATAACTGGTTGACCGTACCGCAATGCTCGTCCATAGTCTTCAGGATCAGGGCTGAAATAAGGGATAAAAGTAGCGAACAATGAATGAAACTATTGAAAAACGGAACATTCAGACTACGCATGCCAAACTTTTCACAGTCAACCTGCTGAATGCTTTATTTTTATTCATATAGACCCGGGAGAAATTTATTCCAAGATTTCAGCTTCTTGGACGATTTATATCAACATCATCTTCGACGGTACGACAACGTCAGTCACCAACGATGCTGTTCTGCTGCCGTACAACCATAATTTACTTGTAATTGTAGTTAAAAACGGAGTAGGAAAGGGTCGGAAGGTACTTACACTTCCAAGCATCCATTCAGAAGATGTGAGTGGAAGGGGAAAACTAGGTCCCAATTAAAGTGTTTAGCAGTCACATCTCAGCACGCATCTAGCTGAACCAAGGGATCACGTGTACCCTGTCCGGGAAGATGGGGCACATTGAGTGTATGCAGGCTCTTTTCAGTTGACTTCGATCCACGCCAGTTTCAGCTTGTAGGCCTTAATTTAGAGTGGAGTGACTGGCTAAAACTGCATCACCTTGTAGGTGGAAGTAATTCATGTGAGCCAAGCTCTGGGAACGTAACAGGTCAGTTTATCGACCGCTGCATGTTCCTGTCAAGAAGAGCGAGTTTGTCGGGATGGAAAACGCTTGAACAAACGCCCCGGCTGCAATGTTTACCCTGGATACATTCTTTTCCGCTCGTTGTGTTCATAATGACACTATGGATTTGCCTATCGGCCAACCTGGCTACATGATAAGCAAATGTGTGGATCAGCGATTAGCGCTACAGTAATGCTTTTTAGAACCAAACCAATCACGTCTTCATACACCATCTACTAATAATAAGTTCGGTGATAGATAAAGGTAGGTATCTCGGATATCACTGTATTCATATTCGATGAATACTATTCAGCAACCAGTGGACCGATCAGATCTGGAATTCCTTCTGGACGTTTGGGCGTATTGGCCTTCTGTTAGCCGTAGTAAGAGCGAGACTCTAATCCTCTACTCCATCTTTTTGGTGTAGGCTGATCTAAAACGTTTGCATCGGAAGAAAAGAAGCTTTCTAAACATGATTTATGTGGATGTAAAAACTATGTATCGCGTACTTCTACCGAATGAGACGCCAGGAAAGTTTTTATTGATGTAGCCCATTACTTGTAAGTTTACTAAAAACTCTCTGACAGCCTATTACCGGTTTTTCATCTCTTCGCACAAACCGAATTTCCATCAAATTTACACTACACACTGTAACTGTACACAAGTGGCGAAATACACGCATTTGAAAACCGCAATGGTATCAACAAATATTTTAGCTGAATCTCTCCCATACGACATTCTTCAAGCCAATATGCTACGTAAACAAATGATTCACTTGAGCCTCCGGTGAAAAACAATGTAATTTGCAAATAAGTATACTTCGCACATCTTTGTAAGGGACAAAAATACTCGGGAAATCAAATCTAATGTCATGTGCTCATGCCAAATTTAAAAAGAATGAAACTGTTAGGCCCAACACTAAAGGTATGTATTATGCGGTATGCGGCACTCAACAGACAATCTATTTATACCCCTACACTCTCAGTGCAACCATCTCTAATGAGACAGCACCTGAGAAGTTCGTGTAGAAAGATTGTACTTTGTTGATGATTGCACCCCACCGATGTGAGGACTTATGTTAGTGCACATACAACGAGTTTTTTGTGTAGCTGGTATACCAAAGCTCTACCCTCATTTTAACACCCTGGACGCCCTATTCTTCCGAAGTATGCTTTTTTGGATGTCAAAACAGATCAGATGCCTGCCCCGGTCTACCAGTTCAGTCTTGCTCCTTAGGCCGCATCTGAATGGAGTCAAACACAGGCTATCAGAAAGTTAGTTGAACACTATAAGGCCTTACAGTCATGTGAGCGTGAGATGGTGCACTGGGTAGAGGTCAAATCTACTGGCCACGACGTCTGTGATTTGAACCCAACCGCTGCATATCTGCTGCTCCTGTCTAGGCTTCTGCATACTGGAAGTACCGAAGCCTTCGTGCTTCCTTCGGATGGTGTGGCAGCCAGGCACCGGAAAGGTATTACAACCTAGCTTTTTTTCTACAGTGGCATCACCTAATCTCTCAAGTACCACACCAACTGAGCTAGGATATGTCGGACCACAGACTAACTCTGACACTGGATTCAGTTGGTAGGTCATGGGCGCTCATAATCATGTATTCGGCTGTCTTTTATGTCCGTCAGCGACTGATTTGCCAAGGCTTGCCTAGTCATCCACTTGCCATTCATGTTGATTTTTGTGTGCAGATGTGTCATTCATTCGCTTTTGTGTTTTATCAGTAGCGAAATTCTATCTTATTGGTTATTCTTTTTGTCCAGCCTAGACCAAAAGATGATAAGCATACCCCTATAATGAGCATACCAGTAGGATAAAGTGCAGTTTTCTGTGCGCCGCTTTTGACTAGCTTGGCAAAAAGCCATGAACCAAGGGCCAAATGGCCGAGCATACCAGCGTCTCCACATACCAGAACTCATTTCCCTAAAGATCCAAGATGTTGTTTAGAGCTAAACTGTTTTGTACACTTTGACATAGTGTTTGAAGCTGTTACGCCACGGTGTAGAAAAATGCCTGTAAGACTACAACACAAGGATAAATTTGAGGTAAAACAATGGACCGAGGCATTGGTGGAGCTAGTACACTTTAGGGGTAGTAATCTGTAAGTTCATTTTGTCTGAGGGACAGAGTACGAACAGACTCTCAGTGGGGTGGTTGAAAGTGTAATATGTTTCCATATTTCTTGCGATATTACTCCTCGTAGCTCAATATCAGTAGTTTTGCCCGTATAAGTATTCCTTAACACACAATGCAGACTGCGTGAAGCACCGCTTGTCTGATAAACAATTATGGATGAATCCACACCATGAGAAGTAATGAGGTACAGAAATTAACCGCTCAAGTGCGAAAGCAGTAACGTTTGTGATTAGATTGTTCAGAGTACTTATCCATTCCACCGTTGCCCAATAATACAGTCAAAAATTTTTTCATTAATCGGAAGTGGTTGGACGATTAACTGTCACCTCGGCTGGACTGAACAGAAACTTTGTGCACATTACTCACTCGAATATTAAAGTTTTTGGACTGAGTGAGATACCTGTGTATTCCAAAACACTTAGGTTTCCTAGTGAAAATTGTTGCAGACTCGCTTTAATTTTCTACTCAGATCCTCATGAGGAATACAAGAAAAAGTGAAACTTCTGTCTTTTGTCACTTTAACAGTAGAAATGCAAGAAAATTTTCCTCACTAGTGTTTTGAATGCCTCCTTTCAAAACTCTGATATTTATGAAGCTGTAACAGCCTGATACACTATACTACTTACTACGTCACTAAATGCTCAGTATTTCTGTTCATCTATTGTCTCTTTCAGTGAGATGAAATTCGCTCAAAGCGTAAAGTTGGTGTTTGATCTCATCGACACTTGCCAGGAGACAGTTACTAGTACGGTAGAAAGGTTCTTATTAGTTATATGAACGTCTTTTCCTAGAGAAGGGCACATGTGAGTACGATTTGAGTTCTGTCTACAAGGCGGAAAATTTTGTGAAGGCTACTGAACAACCGTTTCCGGAAGCCGAAATGTCCGAAACTCCGAAACAACTGAGACAACGCTTTAGTTTTTGACTGATGGCATTTACAGTCCTTTACTTTAGACGTTTACTAGAAGCCTACTAGAAGTGAGCAACTTAGCTCATAGATCAAATCCGTTCAGTCAAAATGAAGTCTTTACCATGGGGAGTTTCGCACGACCATGGAACGAGTCCGTTTCCATGCTGGACTTTGGCAATAGTTACAGTTTGGAATACACATAAATATATCGTTCAACACTATATACTGGAACTGTAGGCGTAGTTACGGATCAGAGTCTCCGTGCAATTAATTCGGTGGTGCCAAAGCTGAAGTAATTTAAGGATAGTGTCAGTCCTTAAATAAGTTACACGATTGACAAAGATTTGACATCCAGAAGCCTTGGGAAAAGAGGATTAGCGCAGAAAGAACTGCTTTAGTTGATGATCCGGACAGGCCGACGACTGCTGTGTTCCGTAGAAAAGAAGATCACTTCAGGCAATGGGTCATACAATGCAGCCTCGTAGGCCATAGCACAAGCGACTTGAAGTGTTTGGCAGGGTAGAATTGGATGTATTACGCACACTAAACTACCACCTACCGAAGGGAGCGTTGTTTTGATTGACTGTGGGTGAGAAGTTCGATGGGGGGATAGACCATAATTTAGCAACGTGAAATAAACACAAGTACAATCAGGCTGAGTGTTGTAGGATCTTTGTATCCTTCTGGCTACACCTCATATGATCCTACTTGAAGGTAGTTAGGAATACTTCAGAACACGGATCACAACAGATTCCAGTGGCGTAAATGTTGTCATTCCCCAGGCGAAATGCCTAGCCCACCTGTCGTTGTATGCTGGAACAGTTTCAGGTGAGGTTCACATATGACTGAGTAGGTCCCCCCGATGGCAACTTCATTCAATATGATATTCAAATGTGTTTATTTTCTATGATGGTCACATCCGTAGGCACTTTGCTTTTGATCAGTTTCCTTAAAGGGATGTGACTTCTTCATAATAAGTCCATGCCATTCCCTCCTCTTTCCACTTTTTACTAAAGGTATTTCTCTAATGTTTGCATGGAACCCAAGCACAAGTATTTCGTAGTGGTTTGCTGGGGTTAACAATGGTGACATTGCCCAATGTAGTTATCTAATTAAAGAAGGGTTTTCACCTAATTTATGTTAGTTTTCATTTTATGTAATACGACACTTGAATGTTGATACTGAAGCATATTACTTAATACTGTTTTCCAGAGTTTCCAAGCCAGGCAGTTTTCTAATCAGTTTTGTACGTACACTTCAAAGATATAGTGATATATTCACATTGAATCACGCCTCCTTCCCTGAGGTTCCACCTATACTCACTAATCTGCCTAAATGTGATCTTTTT